GGCTTCCGTGATATTCAGGCATGCCGTACTTACTTGACTTGATGGAACTGAGGTCCAATAGTAGCATATTAGTGCAAGTATTTAAGTTAATCGTTTATTATTGGCACATGGAAAAATGATGACCTGAGAATCAGGTGCCAAAGGAGAGACAATTCACTGTTGTTAGTTCTCTAAGTGCAGTCATGCCACGCTCGACACTCTCTGTGATTGGTTCGTGTTGTTTGTGCGCAGCTTGCTCACCAAAGCAGATCATACCTTTAGAAGCTTTAGCATAAAATTTGACAGTTCTACGGAGTGGAACTGTGGGGTACTGCCAGTCCTTCCAATCGAAAGTCCTTAGACAAATTGTCAACGCACCTTATTATGTCACTAACCTCACTATCCACAAAAACCTCAACATTCCTTTTGTCAACGAACTAATCCGGTCCAGACTCCAAACCTTCCACACCAACGTTTCGAACCATCCTGACCATACTGCTCGAGCCTCAACCGACGATGGCCTCGGGACTTCCTTGACTCCTAATCATACACACCCCAGCAATGGCTGACTCCTCAAAGCATGTGTTCTACCGGCGTACTGCTGGCATTAGTGCCAGTGTTGCGCTGTGTGATATATTAATCATGTACACATTTGTATAGCGTACTATCATGTATAGGCAATAAATAAATTTAAAAAAAGTTTAGTGGACCTGGACCTCATACTCAGGGTACCCAGACAAATTATTTGGTTAAAAGACAAATTATTTTAGTTGTCGCAGAAACATTAATGAAACGGAAATGTTATAGACATGGGCACCCATTTCAAATACCCTCTCCCAGCTCTTCCCAGTTATTCTCTTTATCTGCCATAGCATCGATGTATGCCAAAGAGTTTTTCGAGTTCTTCTTTGCATATTCATATTTACTTAATAAATTATTCTTTTTTTTAGAGGCTTACTATTTAGTTATATTGGGTTGTCCGGAAAATAATGCAGGATTTTAAGTTTTCATTAAAAAAAATCTATATAAAATATTCTGTTTACGTTTACAGGATTACTCATTTGTATGAATGTCAACACTTATTAATCCTCTTCCAAATGATATTGTTTGTTTACCTCTGTAGCATTCCGCTACTTGGAAATAATTCAGTCATCCTTATAATGTCAAAGCGAGAATTTCGTACGATTTTCTTTTACGAGTTTAAACTCGGCCGAAGCGGAGCCCAAACGGCTAGAAACATTAACCAAGTCTGGGGCGAGGGTTGTGTTAATGAGTGCACTGTGCAAAGGTGGTTTAAAAAATTTCGGGAGGGAGATTTCAGCCTTGAAGATGAAGAAGGTCGTGGAAGGCCTTCCTCTCTTAATGATGATGTTCTGCGATCAGTGGTGGAAGAAAACCCCAAAACAACTGTTCGAGAACTTGCAGAGCAACTCAAAGTCAGTAAAACGACCGTCGCTGACCACCTCAAGGCGATTGGAAAAGTGAAAAAACTCGAAAATTGGGTTCCACACTCATTAAACGATCGCCAAAAAAATCAGCGCTTTGATGTTTGTGCATCACTTCTTTGTCGAAACAAAAATGACCCATTTCTGGCCAGAATTGTTACATGTGACGAAAAGTGGATTCTCTACGATAACACTAGACGTTCTGGACAGTGGCTCGACAAAGGAGAAGCTCCAATACATTTTCCAAAGCCCCCAACTCATCAAAAAAAGGTAATGGTTACGGTATGGTGGGCTTCATTTGGTTTAATACACTACAGCTTCTTAAATCCTGGCGAAACCATCAATGCTGAATCATACTGTAACCAAATTAATACCATGCATCAGAAATTGGCAGTAATGAAGCCCTCTTTGGTCAATCGGAAAGGGCCCATTTTGTTGCATGACAACGCTCGACCACATGTGTCACGTGTAACGTCACAAAAATTATTGGAGCTTGGCTATGAAACTTTGCCTCACCCACCCTACTCTCCGGACCTCTCGCCTACTGACTACCATTTTTTTAGACACCTGGACCACTACTTACAACACATAATATTCAAAAATCAAACGGAACTGGAAAATGCATTTATTGACTTTATCAATTCTAAAAATTCTGAATTCTACTCAGACGGAATTAATAAGTTACCAACACGTTGGGAGAAATGTATTGAGAGTTTGGGAAATTATTTTGATTAAAGAACATTGCTTTAAAGTAACTAGTTTCTTTTTTTTTGTTTAATACCAAAATCCTGCATTATTTTCCGGACAACCCAATAAAACAAACACAGAGTGTGCGAAGGAGGTTTCAAGGATAAATGGCTTGAAAAGCAATTCTGTTATTCAAGCCAAATGGTTCCATTTGTCTATTTATTGGTCCATCTTCTATATTCTTTTATTCTCGGGTTGAATCTGTGGGTTTGGGTTAGGGGCCCATTGTATCACACCTTATCTAAGGAATTGTAGAGATTGTCTCCCGGACAAGACAAACAAATCAAGGCTAAGTATTATAAATAGTAAAGGAAAAAGAGGGAATCAGTGTTAGCGAAGGGCTGAAACAAATAGGAGGGGAGGAGTGCTAAAGCGAGCCATTTGTATGATCCGAGCGCTACCGGTAATCCCCTGTCTTGATATATATCGTCTCTTACACTCCATTCGGGCGAAAAGCTTGTTGCGCTATCACACACCCTCTCGGTCCTTTTCTTCTGGCCCTTCCACCACTTCACCGAAAATTCACTACTCTCAACATTCTTAATATTCCGAATCGAAAAAATAGCTCTAAACAATATGAACAATGTGTGGTGTTCAGTGACCGTTAGCCAATGATTATTTGGACATCGTGAGATGCGGTCTAGTGTGACGTAGGTTTTAGAAAAACATTTTCCTCATCGTGCCCACGTTTCTATGTTTATTGAGGTCATCTTCAGGGCCTGGGATTTACAAACATTGTTTCAATTTTACAAATACATGTAGGATGTGGAAAAAATGAATTTATACAATGCTTTTTTCCACATCCTAAATGTATTTGTAAAATTTATACAATGTTTATAAATCCCAGGCCCTGAAGATGATCTCAATAAAGATCGAAACGTTGGAACGATAAAGAAAATGTTTTTCTGAAACCTATGTCACACCAGACCGCATCTCACGATCTCCAAATAATATGAACAATTTTACATAGACATCCTCGTCTGACGTTTTTCGGTGATACAAAGTTGAAAAAGATTAGGCCTGTGTCGAGCGTTCTTCCCAATGGAACTTTAAGGTTTTCTGTCTTCGTTGGACATGTATTTCGAAGTTATTACAAACTGCTAAAAAATGAATAGGGATGTTTGTAATTTATTCTTATTCTATTAATTTGAATTAAATTAATCGATATATTTTTGTTAGTTGGATGAAACAAAACAGAAAAGAACAAACCAAAAACAAACAAATGTTAATCCTCATTTAGTAAACAAACACCTTTTCTCGTTTTTTTTACATTTTAATCCAATCTTCTTAACAAATGGAAAGACATCATTTGAACCAGAAGTTCGCAATATTATTGTAGGAATGAGTCATCGAGGTCACCGGCTAGTGGATATGGCAGAGGCAGTTGGCGTTTCTCAGGGCTTTAGCCCAGAGACTGGAAGTGCCAATGGGACGCCTGGCAGTGCATCTCAGCGCATTACGACGCTAAGGGAAGACAGAAATATTGTCATTACTACCAGACGGAAACCTTTCCGTAGTGCCCACCATTTCCTAAATGAAGTAGACTGATGCGCCTAGAAGAAAAGACAAACTGGAATGTTGTTATTTTTACAGATGAGTTGCGTTTCTGCCTGTATAGTGATAGGAGGCGCCGAAGAGTCTACCGAGAACAGGGGATGCGTACAATGCCCATTGCTCATAAAATTTATCTAACAATTTATTACATGGTTTTGCTCAAAATAATGCATTAAGAACAAAAAAGTCGTTGCGATTGTGATAGTGATTATTGTGATAAACGCTGTGGACTGTACGCGACGTGTTCTTGCGTCGGATAGATGTGCACACCCCATCAAAACGGGGCAAGGCGTCGGGTAGCATGGGGCAGCGTCCCATAGCGTTGCAACGAGTGTGTTCCCGGCTTTACACTCTGATGTCTGGTGCTCCACTTAAGAAATTATAACTCCTCCGGATTTTGTAGTTAAAACATTGTTGGAGTGTTTTTTTAATCTCTTTTTTCACTTATAATGACACCGTTGAATTTAAAATCCAGAGGAGTTATACAATTTTAAATGGTCATGCTGAAAGAAAAATGTCTTCCGGCTAATTCGCAATTCGAGACGTAACACGAGACCAAGCGACGTAACAAAGTAGTTTGAAATAACAGTTTGAGCAAGAAATAAAGTTGATATTCTCTTTCTGCACTATTAAAAACATCTGCAAATGTGTTTTTTGGGAAAATTAAAAAAGCTTTTTTCTCTAATATTTTTCGTTTTTCAAACGCCTCCGATGTTTTTGTTAATTCATCCTTACATTTTTCATTTATAATGACACAAAATTTAAATATTATTGAAATAGTCTAAAAGTATAAAAACCCAGCTTTGAAATAATAAAATTGGATAAAATCCAAAGGAGTTATAAATTTTTAAGTGGAGCCCCAGACATCAGAGTGTAAACTTTGTCTCAATTTTTAAGTGGAACATGAAGCATCGACGAGAAAAAATTTCAAAACTTATAATGCCTTAACGACTAAGTTTTTGTTAATTCATCCTTACATTTTTCATTTATAATGACACAAAATTTAAATATTATTGAAATAGACTAAAAATATAAAAACCCAGCTTTGAAATAATAAATTTGAATAAAATCCAGAGGTGTTATGAATTCTTCAGTGGAATGTGAAGCATCGACGAGAAAAAATTTCAAAACTTTTGTTTATAGGGCGTTAACGACTAAGTTCACTCAAATACAAACACAATACACAATTACAATACAACATTGATTTTTTATTGCTTTATTTCGAATTTATACAATTTAAATGTTAATAATAAATGCAAAAAAGTTGTTGCACAGCGTCATTTCACATACAATTAACATGAATTTAACTCAAGCACACAAGGTAGATTAATCAAAATCAAAATTAAAAAAAAAAATATAATGCAATTATAAGAGAAAATAGGTATCATCTGTCAAAGATTAGGAAAATCACTGAAATTCTATCTTAACAAACGTAGCAACATTGCTCAATTTATAATATGACAAAAACTAGTTTTATAGGTTTGAAAGTATTTCAGAATTAAAAACTTAACTTGAAATTGGCTTTGCAAAAAAAAAAATCAGATCTTTCTCCTATCAACTTGATCTGTCTTAACAAATTTTTTATCTAGTGGTTGGCCTGTGTTTTGTCAAGGATGGCGTAAGTCCGGTTTTTTCGATGTGCTCCTGCCTTCACTAAAATTAAACGGCCATTATTTTGAGTAGGATAAAATTGAGTGTAAGTCATTATTTACTCGTTTAGTTTTCATCTTCTGATGCTGATGAAATTACAATGGTATCATCCTGAAACAATGGTCTGTGTTATTGAACAATATTTTATGTTTATGGCTTGATAAATCGACTTTTATCTAAACAAAAAAATCATTTTTCCCTTAAAATCAGTTTTTTGAGACGTATTTCAATTTTTTCTGAACAGATTATGAAATAGTTTTTGTAATTTTTCATAAAATCGAATGAATTGACGAATGAGCAAATGAAGATAAAGGTTGCATTTTCTAAGAATATGACGAGAAGACTATTATGATTTATAGATTTGAAAAATGAGTAATAATAACCCTCCTTAACCATAACCCAACCTGACGTAACCTAACCCCTCTCTAACCATAAACCTAGCCTAACCCCTTGCTAACATAACCCAACCCGATATGACTTAACCCGTCTCCTAACCATAAACCTATCGAACGTAACCTGTTTCTGACCATAACAAACGTGTCCTAGCATAACCCGTCACTAGCCATAACCCTACCTAACCTAACCATCAGGTCTTTATCTCCTTTTTTCCTCGGTTCCTAGGCGTTTTTGGCTAAAGATTCTTCTCTTTTCCCTTGATGGTCGTGCCCCTGGGATACTATCCATATGCCTCACTCCAGATGCTAGCGCGCGTTCAGGACGGGCCTCTCATTTTGAACTGACGAAGAGGTTACTTATGCTGTCCAGCATTTTGTAATTATAATCGCCTTAAAATATCTATTTGGAAGGTTTGTAAGTTTCTGATGAGCCTGTAAGGAGATTTTGGTGTCCTAACTGATCAATCCTGCCCATTTTTATCCTATCATATGATACTACTACCGAATCGTAATCGATAACGGGAAAACGGTCACGCAAAAAGATTGCAAACCATATCCAATGTTAAAATCGTCTGTTCTTCGTAACTTTAGGCAATTAAGTAATGAAGTATTTCTATTATGAGCATCTATGCTTAGTTTAAATTTTAAATAACCCAAAAGGATTATATTAATAGTTTAATTAAAAATTGAACTTACGTGCGTAGTTGTGCTAGCACTCTCGAATAACGCGGGTAGAGGCTGGAAAAAATAGACAGCTAAGATAAATAAACAAACAAACTAAACCATGCACTTACATGAGAAGTGTAGAAAGGACTTGTACTTTCGAAGTTCGCCCCGTTTGTATGAAGAGAAGAGCTTACAGTCAATGAAGCGGGAAAATGCTTAGTTGACGTCTGCTAAAAAATAAAAAATTTAACTTGTCAACCCTTTTAAAAATCGGTCAAAAATAACGAAAACAATACGAATAAAGTCTTGTTTATGCAGGAGCTCTTGTACAACAATATTAAAAAACGTGGATTACGGCCAGATTTGGTTAAAACTTACAATGGATTCTGATGTTTGAAACCGGAAGGAAGTGCCACTCCTGGGTATGGGAAGACAATGATGGCTCTGTAAAATATCCTTTAAATAAAACGTTTTATATGACATACTTAAATAGTAATTTTCATAGGGATAATGTTGGAATTAAATCGCTTACCGTAAGTTTTGACCGGGTCGGCCGCGTTGGCGCTGGAGGGCAGATGACCTAGAAACCCGGCTAATTTAAAAGGCTGCCTTTTTCAAAATGGTCAAACTAAAAACTTACATCAGGCGAGGTGGTTTCCATTTGGGTCTTTTCTCTTGCCGAATCCAGCTTTGTTTTTATCGAATTGTTTTAAAACAATAAGCATTATACTACTAATTAAAATTAGATATAAGATTAAACTTACCAAAAGCCCCGCTAGATCCCATCTTCCAGAAACGTCAGAGTGGACATTCTGAAAAAGCCGAAGTGAAAAAGAAATGAATCTACATTTCAAATAAATAGACTCAAAGACAAAGAAAGGAGGAAGGAGATACGTATAAAGGCACATTTTCCGAATCAAAAGTTTTGTAATTGGTGCGGTCCGCCGGTATTAGGTCAGACTAAGGTAAGACGTGGAGGAGGATGTGCTAAACTGAATCCTCCAAGTAATGGGTGCCAACTTGAGCTACATGCATTAACAAGATGTTGTTCCCAATAAATCTTATTAATGGGTCCACAGCTTCCAAAGAACCTTAGTGTAGACATAGATCCATTCTGTATGATAATTAGTTTAGTTCATGGACGTTGATTCCACCTTGTACCATTGCTGTCTTTGAAAAGGTTGTAACTCAAGCACAGCACATGAAGTAAAGAGTTCTCCACTCACCCCCGTCCTCTTTGCCACAAACCAAACCGACACTCATCTATGAAGAGGACATCCCCATTATTCTAGAGACCAGGCTGTTCTGACGAAGCCTTCTGATGACTATGTTAGAGCTCACCCTTACATCACGGACCGTTTAGAATTGAGTGCCTATTAAGAAAGCCGTTATTTGATGGTTAATGCGGTAAGAGCAATAAAACGATCGTCTCTAGCCGAAGAACATCATGATCCACCACTAACCGATCGATACTTCCGGTGCCCCTAAGTCCTGAGCACCATCGTGGATGGTTGAGCGTGGCACACCTATTACTTGGGCTATGTAAAGCCTTGTTCCCCACGGCGTGGGGTTTGGCGAGCGTGTTCTGAAGTTTGCCATACCTCAATACTTCTCTAAAACCCGTTTCCATGATCTGTTGTGGTTGTTTCAGTTGTACCGGTTTAGTACGAACCAAATTTATTTTTCAACATCTATAAATCATTATAGAACACTGTACTAGAGTTGATTTTTAAATCATAACTGACATCATTAAACAAATTTGGATGACTAGTGGCCGTACGAGATTAGCCAAAACTCGAACCTTTCAACGCCATGAGAACGGCTTTCGGTGAGTATACGACAGACTAAACAGATTACAAGTCTATGTTCGCTCGTCAAGCCACACGCCTCGACGTGGGACGTCGTTGGCCAAAGCATCTGCTCGAGCGGGATCTTATCGACTTAAAACATGCTTTTAAGAAAAAAGAAACATTAAAATTTGTTGTTTTGTTAAAAATAAAGGATAAATACAATTGTCCGGTTTTTGTATTAAAAAACAGATAGTCTCACATGTGACATGTAAAACTGGCGCGAACCCCTTGCAGTATGTGAAGTCCTACCGTTCTGAAACAATCTTTGTTAGAAAAATTTTCAGTTAATTAAACAATTTAAGTATCGACTTACAAAAGCCGATGAAAAAGTTGAATTTGTTCTGCTATAGCCAGAGATGGTATAAGGTTCCGCCTAAAGAAAGCCAAAAAAAAAAATCATAAATTAAATTTGTTACATTAACAGCAAAATCAATCCTCCAGTGTGCTCAACCGAAAACCGGATTATCCTATCAAAAATTCGATTGAAGATGTTTTTACTACCTGTGAGGCGTCGCATTGCCATGTGCCCCTCGGTGGATATGGAGACACTTGCCTGCTAAGTCCCTACAACGATTGATCTTGTCGAACTTTTATTGACATAACGATTATAAAGGGAAGAAATTCTTACGGTTAAAGTCGGAGAATGACGTCGAATCGGAGCGGGAATGGTTGAACTTCTTACCTGAAAACATGGATTAAGTCGGATTTGATTGACTTTTTTGAACCTGAACTGACAAGTGAATGCTAAAAACCTCGAAACCGATTCGAATTGAAACAATCATTTTTAATATAAAGTTGTCTGCTTTTTTCTGAATGTAATGCAAGATTATTATATCAGTAGACTAGTTTTGTTACGTAGGATAAGTTCGTATTAAATGAGGTTAGTTAAATATAAAGTTACCAAAATAAGCTTTCAGTATAGTACGTCAAAAAAACATTTTAATTAAAAAGNTTAGTATGTAAAGCTTTCAAAAAAGAAAAAATTGCCTTGGAGAATATATGTATATATAATAGACATAACCTAGATCGGTGAAGTTATGATCATTTTTTAGGCGAAAAACTTTAAAAAAATATTTTTCGATTTTCCCAAAAATTTATTTATTTATCATAGTATTCTGGGTTTTTCGAATACCAGCTTTATTTCTCGGTAGAAAATACGTTCAAGTACTTTGCTACGTCCATCGGTCAGTACATCACAATTGCCGATATTTTGAAGTAAATTTGTTTTAAGCAATTCAATACAAAATTTCATAACAAACAAAACTAGACATTCTTGAGTTTGATTAGTAGAAAAAGAGCAATATTTTTTCCTCCATGTCTAGTGCTCCATATAATATGATGGTTCGTATTAAATGAGGTTAGGTAAATATAAAATTACAAAAATAAGCCCTCTAGATTTTATTCAAATCCAACGTGATTAGAACCTTTAAAAAGCTGAATATCTCTACTTTTTGACTACCAACAATGTTTATGTTTTATATTATATCATTATAAGTGAGAGAATAAGGATAAAATCAACCAAAACTCTTCAAAAGTTTTATTTTATATCTCTGGTTCTGGTTGTAGTGAAGCTGACTTTGTGCCATTACATGTAGGTTATAAGAATGTAAAGCCCTGTAAAATTTCCTGTGGATGGGTGGAGTCTTATCGAAATAATTACGGTTTATGTGATTTCAGAAACATTAGAGGAACAATTGGAATGAATAAAAAAGTTCTTTTAAGATCCCCCAAAATTTGTGTTCTGCGGTTTTTCGGGGTGCGAAAAACGAATATAAGCTTTTTATCTTGCTAATAAATTATTAAATCGATTTTATTTCGTGGTCCGATTGACCAAATAATTTCTCTCAATTAATTAATCTTTATATAAGGTACTGGTTGAAATGAAATAGTCTCACGAGCGGGATTCGAACCCACGATCTTCGGCTTGATACGCCGCTGCTTTCCACTTGAGCTATCGTGATTTAGATCCACTCGGACATCAACTTCCCATCTCAACCTACCTTTCGAATTTTCCTTCTTTTTTGCCATTTTTCAAATGTCGTATAATCAGGATTCGATTCTCGGCGACAAATGTGCGACAAATTCATTTCAACCAATACTTTACATAAATGTGTGGTGATTAGTGACCGTTAATCGATAATTATACAGAAATCGTGAGATGCAGGTTCACACCAGAGATGTAGGTTTCAGAGAAACATTTTCTTTATCGAGCCAACGTTTCGATCTTTATTGAGATCATCTTCAGGGCTCAAAGTGTTTGTCTTCTGTGTAATTGTGCCATTCTTGCGTGTCCTGTTGAGAGTCAAACACTCAAGAGAAACACTTCGAGCCCTGAAGATGATCTCAATAAAGATCGAAACGTTGGCACGATAAAGAAAATGTTTTTCTGAAACCTACATCGCACCAGACCGCATCTCACTATTTCTGAATAATTACCTTACATAAAGATTAATTAATTCAAAGAAGTTATTTGGTCAATCGGATCACGAAATATAATGGATTTAATAAGTAAAACGAAGTATATCTTAACTAAGAGCTCTCCGTGGCCATTTCATTTGTTGCCGAGAATCGAATCCTGATTACACGACGTTTGAAAAATGGCAAAAAGGAGGGAAAATTCAAAAGGTGGTGTTGAGATGGGAAGTTGCTGTCCGGGTGGATCGCGATCATGATAGCTCGAGTGGTATCTAGCCGAAGATCGTGGGTTCGAATCCCGCTCGTGACAATGACTTTTTCATTGCAACCAATACCTTAAATAAAGATTAACTAATAAATTATTTTAACCTAATTTGCTATGTTTGGTTTCAAATATCGAATCAGCCGAGGGCAAGTTTTCTCCTGTTTATGTCCGGTGTTCCACTTAAAAATTCATAACCCTCCTGGATTTTATCTATTTTCCAAATTTAACGGCATTTGGCCTATAGAAAAGCCGTATTTTTCTAGTTTTTTACTATGTCGACAATATTTACGTTTGTCATCATAAGAAAAATAAGAGTGAAATCAACCAAACCTTGGTTTTGACAAGTTTTTCATGAATTCTATATTGCTAGGGATCATAAATCCGTTTACAGAATTTAAAAATATATAATTGTACAGAAATGAGAGAAAATTTGACAATTTAGTATTGTTATGTTTTAGATGTGATTTATAATTTTGGCTAGAATTAGCGTTGTTTTAATTTATAACGCGCAATTACTGTGTTCCATCGATCGCTATAACCTAATAAGTTATCATTATTATGTGACAACAGAAGAAAATGTTAAAAAGATCTCACAGAGTGATTTTCGTCGGGACGCCTTGCTTCTTCTGTAGAGGTTGATGTCACCTCATTCACTATGTTCTGAAATTTCATAACTTGATGTTATAATAAAAAAAAAATGATGGGGTGACATTTATAATAATCGTATGATATTGTAAAAATAAATCATCGCTTTATCAAGCAGATAGTGAATATATTCTCACCTTGATTACCATGAGCTCAGAGGATGTTGCAACTTCTGACCGTCCTTCCTACAAAAGGTACAAAATCAAATATACAATTTTTTGAAAAGAAAAGTTCAATTACCTCAGTGAGCAATGACGAGTCGTTTATAAATTCGTCTAACTTGTATTCTCCTTCCTGAAATGTACACGGGAATTTAGTATTAACTGCATTTGTTTGTATAAGCTGTAACAGTACATTCACCCAATGTTGCGTCGTGTCCATTTTTGTCGATTCCGGCAAACGAAGAAAAGGCCGCTTCAATGTTTCAAAACCCTATTGAAGGAAGATTTAGCAAAGTAATCTTTTAACGACCGAAAACAGTGTTTTGGGAGATAGAGGTCAGAAGGGGGTGTACAGAGGATCTGAAGGTAAGGTTTATTTTACGTAGGGGTTGGGAAGATATCTGATAGAGGAAGTCAAAAGGTAAAATGGTATGGCCATCGGTGTATCAATTGGGATTCAATGTCCTCAGTCCAGAATACATCATTCAAAGTGGCGGAGAATAAGAGGGTGCTAGGAGGTTACGCACACCAAAAGTCCTTTTTCTCACACCATCGACATAATTGCCTCACATGTTCTCCTTGTGATTGTTACAAATTACTTAACCTATGTTATGGTATCATATTTAGTTCAGCTCTATGATGAAAAGCTATGCTCTACGAAAACTAAAGCTTCTCCGCAAGTTCCTTATAAAATAAATGTACGAGTTTACGTCTCAAATCTTACAATATTTTGCATATAGTTACCACTTGTTAGTCAGGTGGTGTGAAGGAAAGGTAAATTTTGTCAATAATGAGACAAAAAAAAAGGACGTGGAGTTGCTTGAGCCTTGAGAAAGTAATGGATTGGGGGAAGTAGGGACGGTCCTAGCCAATTTGAGACGGTCCGAATGGAATGACTGGAACCAACGGAGGGCATTGTGGGAGAATCATCAGTGTGTAAGTTTATCTAGGAAAAGGGAAAGGCATGGGAAAACTCGACAATAATGGTGATTTCACATCGGTCAATAGTCTGTATAACAGTGTGGTAAGACATAGGAGAGAAATTTGGACTTCTATAAAGAAAATGATGATGAACATACCGGAAGAACGGAGACTCTTTCAAGCGTAGAATCTTCAGACTGTACCTCCTTAAAATTGTAATAAAAATATGCTTTAATAAAAGTAGTTAGAAATCACATAAAATGATTGTATTTTTGCACGCATATGACATTGAAAGGTACAGAGAAATGGAGTAATTTTTCTCTTAAAAAAATACACCTTACCTCAGATTTGTGCAAAGGCCATGAAGCAGAACTTAAGTGGTCTGGATAACACGTCGGTTCATTCTGAAAAAAAGGTTTCGGAATGAAAGCTTCGTATGGAAATAAGAAACAATGTACAACCTGGATATCACCATCATTTTGTGCTACAAATATACCTATTTCCCTACACAAATTAGAAGAATTACAATCACATACTGGCTGGGGATAATTCACCTGAATTATAATGGTAAAAGATTTAAATTTGATACTTTTAAATCCTGTCCGGTTTGTTGCCACGACAATCAGCACTTACAACCTGTTTTGTCTTACCACCCATAATACTGGACAATTTAGTCCAAAACCATGACAGAAGTTTTCTTTTAAATTTTTACAGCGAGCTTAAGCAGCATAACCTGTTAAATACATAACAGAGGTCCAGGAAAATAACTGGACAGTACTACTACTACTCAAGGAGTACTGTACTTCCAACCGAACGTGGTAAGGAATAAGGGAATGAGGAGAAACTTCTCGTATACATTTTCCAGGATTGGAAGCAGGCTGATGGGGAGATTTCATGTGGCCTAATAGTTTCATGCTGTTGTTGAAGAAATGGGGGATGATAAGGCATGATTAGGCATTTAGATTTAAGAGTAAATCTAAAGGTCTTACTGATATGATTGTCACTTTCCTGCAGCCCACGATCTCTCTGATCTGACATTTATCCTACCAACTTTGGTTTCCTGACACCATTCCTCTTTACCCTCAACACTGCTGTCCTTCACCGCAGTACCATAACGTAAGCCGAAGTGGTGGTCAGGAATAGAATTTAAATTTGGTAAAATGAATGAATGATAAGGAAAAGCGTCTCAAGGACTTTTCAAAGGATTGGAAGGTGAGGATCATACGGACAATTGGGAATTTCCAAAGGATGGGAAAATGCTTTTCTTCTGAGGACAGCAGTGTTGAGAGTAAAGAGAAGTGGTGCCAGTATGCTTCTTGTACGTTTATGTTGGATGCACTGACATTGTAAATTGGTGTTAGTAAATTATTGTTTGGTGAGTTGGCACGTAATAGCAGGTGAAAGTTTTTGATACTTGGTGTTTTGTAATGTGCTTAGGAGATGTCCAGGAAAACAACATGCTTAAGAGTAGTAGCGATGGTGTCAATATGGTGTGTGAGTTGTAGTGGCGGAAGCAGAACAGGTGGTAAGGAATAAGGTTTGAGGGTGTTGATGCGCAGCCTGATAACATGATGCTTCTTGAGCACTTTTCCAAGGATGGAAAACATTCTGATGGAGTGATCAGTTGGTGTTATGGAGCATCCCGATTGCCAGGAAAACTATTGTGGTGGTGAAGGATGTTTCTCGTTATCAAGTCATATCCACGACATTTTTTCTTTAAAAGGCTGCGGATTGTGGATTGGCCTCTTTTTGGGTAAAACCTGTATGAGAGGAAGAGAGTATCTAAGACGGCTATATTACTCGTTTTCGTTAAACTTGATTCTCAATGTCATACGCGAATACAAAGGTTATGGTATTGCCGTGAAGAGGAAGATGAGCAGCAAAGGGTAAAGAATAGTGGTTGGAGTACCAGTGTACTTCCTTGAGGGACTCTACCGTTGATAGGATAAATATCAGTCTTAAAATGCCACATGCCATACCCGAGCAAATGCTTGAGAGATGTCCAGGAACATAAGCGGACAGTGACTTCTACTCACTCTTGGTCGCGATGGTGTCTATACCGCGATGGGGTTGGTGTATGGTGGGGAGTTGAAGAAGGATGTTCCTCGTTGTCAAATCATATCCAGGATTTTTTTGTGACTGAGAATTTTTGACGTCATATGTGATAAAAGGAGTGTGAGAGGTCGGCAAAATGGCTATGTTTTCGGTCACCTTAGATCTCCAAGTGCGAAGCCAAGGTTCGAGGCTTCGGGTTAGGTTAGGATTATAGAAGGTACAGCGGAGTGGAGCCAATATACTTTTAGTTGACATAAAATATATGTAAAAATAACTTACTTGTTCTTCTAACTGCTCGACAAAATTCCAAAGCAGTGTTGATGATCCGGCCTTATTGAAAATATATATTGTTAGTTATATTAATCTACAAGGCTCTATTCCAAGGTTATATACCTCGTTGTCGAAGGAACTACCGGGCTCGTTTATAGCTGTACTTTCCTCCTTGTTTGTAGTACTAGCTGAATCCAACAACTACAAAAATTGAATAAACAAAACTCAAATTTCAGTCATAAAATACATTTCTGGAAGGTAAAACAGGTGAAAAGTCATTACAGTCTCATCGAAATTAGCGCAGTCCCACATGGCTAAAACATTTTCCTGTAACAATTAAATCATAAGGGGGTATACTAATTTAAGAAATTGGGAAATAAGCCATACGTCGTTTCCTGTGTTCTGAGAAACCAGATGCTGGAAAAGAAGAGAGTCATCTTCAACATCCCCATTGAGAGTGGTTACGTCGAGTTCGGACTTCTTCGAAAAAAGACCTTCTTGTGATGACTTTTATTGAAAAATAAAGAAGATTGATTAAATATGTGTGTATTTAATTTTATAACAATCCTTGTTCATTGCCATAAGAGAAAATTAAAAAACCCGTTTTCCTTCTCTTTATGTTATACACACTACAACACATATTCAAAAAGTATTGTGAACAATATATTTTTTGCAGTTACTATTCCTATCCTTACTCTGTAAAAATATTGCAAGTTGCCATTATAAAAGTTTTCTGTGTCGGTTAAATTTGTTATCCCTGAACACCTGCCTTCATCAAATAAAAGGTACAGAAGAACCGAGGATGAAATTAATGAGTGTTTATGATTGAACTGCTTTCGAGCTAAAATACATGATATTGTTGCTTGGCCAATATACAAATCTTAAAACAGGTTACACTGGCATAAAAACTTCATAAGAACAAACAGTCAAGTGGGCCTAAAATCACTAGCATGTAAAAATGTCACACCCAAAATAGTCAGTGAATACACCCAAAACCTGGGAAACGCAACAACCTGACAATGCTTTGGTGTTAGCCGACCAAAGAATTTTACATAATGAACCATCAAAAAAACAGGTTATGCAAGGTAAAAATCTAGGATAGCAAGATCAAACAAATGATCTTCTATATCAGACTGAGTCACCCTAAACAAAAAGGGAAATGCACGAACTCTAGATTCTAAACTAGTGAAAAGACCGGGTCAGTTATATACTGTGCAAACACAAAATACGAGCAACTGTGCTCATGAGGGATGTGCACATCGGTCTTTCATACTGAACTACATGCTATCCATGCCTGCGCCAAAGAAAATATTAAAAGTGGTTACATGGACAAAATAAATTCTCGTGGGATCAGACAACCAAAGGTTTCTAAAAGTATTAGCACATACAAATGTCACACCCAAACTATTCGTTAAATACACCCAAAACCTTTGGGCAAACGTAACCTGACGATATCTTAGATGCCAGATTGTTAGACCTTTATTCATCAGTAGACCCCTGATCTTTTAGGCTGAACTTAGCTGCATACTTTTGTGCCCTGTCTTTGAACAACAAAAAATTCTGAAATACGGTAGAATTTAAGACTTGAAGTATATGCTGAACTTAAAAACACTCCTTAAAAAGGAATGTGTAGAAAAATTAAAATCCATTTATCGTAGTTGAAGTGATTTTTAAAATAAAAAAAGGAAATAGGGGAAAAAAGCCGCATCGCATTAGTTCCTATTTCCATCTAGTTATGAATTATTATTAAGGTGAACAAAGAATGATAAAAATTGCCTTCCTTGTTTTTAGCAACATCTCGACCAAAGTCAATTGAAAAAAAGTAAATGAAAATTGGAAAGTAATGAAAGTAAAGGACAAAAGTACCTTTCCAACACATCCACCATTCATAGTGACAGAAAGATCAGTAATTTTTATGAACTTATAGACCTATTGCAATTGCTGGAAGGATAAAAACTAAAAACCTCCTTGGAAAAAATACAAGTCGATTAATCAGGTGTTCTAACAATCTTTCGAATCCCTAATCGAACAGATTATTTTCCTAAATTCGACAGAGCAAAACCATCTAATACTTACCAAAATGTGAAATAGTTGTTATTATAAAGCTCAACGTGTTTGAAATCTGACAAAGGTCATCAACTGACGAACTTTGCCTGATGAAATGGTTGGTTTTTAAACTTGAAATAAATCGAAAATACCTGTTTATAAAGGATTGATTCATTTGTGAGCGTATCAACTCTGATATAACAAAGGCCTCTTTATCACCTTTTTTAATTTCCTTTAAAATACGATTTCTTATAAGAAAATAACACTGGGAATCACGTCAATTAATAGAAATGTATTTATTTTTTTCATTATAATCAATACGTCTCACCCTCTTGACATATTTTTAAGGGTTGAATGATGAAGGGTTCACCTAGGAAACTGCACATTATGACCAAATCTTTATATGATTCTTAATGAGCATCTCTCTTTTAAAATGACGAAATTCTTTGTCTACTCAAAAAATCTTATTGGCACTATCATTTTGAGCTTTTTCGTTATATTATAAATAAAATTTCCAACTTCGACGCATTATTTATTTCCTGTGTCTATGTCATGACATCTTACAATTAGCTTAAATTAGAGCACATTTATTTTATCTTTTTTAAATTTAACTATTATGCTCTATTCTATGGAATTGTGTATATCTAATAAAATATTTTCTAATTTAAAAAGTAATTTATACTTCAGTCAATTTTTACCACATCTGCATGCGACAAAGAAAAGAACAGTATTTTAATGAGGTTTCCCATTAACAAAAATTAAATTAAATTAAATTAACAGACTGAGAAAAGATGTCACGTAAAATTTTAAAAAAAACTTACGTCCATTTAATTTAAATAATAAAAAGTGAGGGACTTTTGGCAAAAAATCTCAGTTCATTAAATATTGGATCACATCCTAAAATTAAAAATAACTATTTTATCCATTAGTCAATTTTGACAAAATCAATCCCTCCGCTTTTATCTACCACTGAGGAAAAAATCTATCTACAGAGAAAAGAACAGTATTTTAATGAAATTTTCCATTAAAAAAATAAAGAAACCGAGAAAAGATGTCACTTAAAATTAAAAAAAAAATACTTACGTCCATTTCATTCAAATCAAAAAAACTGAGGCAAAAAAAGTATGGAATTACATCCTAAAATTTAAGAAACAATTAATAAAATCAAACCCTTTGATTCCTGACAATAATTTTTTTAAATTAATGTTTACAACTAAAAATATGTTATACAAACCTTAAAGCTGCTGATATTTTTAAACTTTGCTGCATCCTCGCATTTCGTTAGTAGGTGCTATGCTATCAACGATAATCAAGAAACTAAACGGATTCTAAATTGTTAGAGCCCCCCCCCCTAACCGTGTACATTCGTTTGTTTGCAACCTCGTTAAATTTTCAACGTGATTATTTTATACAATCGCTATTATTCAGATTAGACAGAGTTTTTTCTGTTCCAGTCTTATCGTCTTAAGATTTTTGATAAATCAATTCAACCAGGGGCAGGTTTTGAAACGCTATGAAACGCTCGAGAGATATATCCTGGGTCGAAAAACACCCCCCAAGCCGTATGAGATAAATAATTCAACACCCTATCAGGAAGGGCACACAGCAACAGGTGGTAGACTAGGGTTAACATAATAACTAAATCAACTGTTTGTTTAGCTGTCCATAGCCATTTACCCCCCCCCCCCTACCGGAACTGTATGCTCCACGTATGAGCTTATCCCAGTATGATCATCAATCAATGAACTGTAAACTTTCCGAAAAAATGTCTAAACAACTGATGGGATCGATATGGAGCCTGAAAGACGCAATATTGTCTTTACTCTCGGTTCCGTTCTCTATTAAGCATACATTGCAGACGCCGGACGCCAACCATCATCCCAAACTTCGAAAACAATATCACCATCCTTTCAGCAAACTCACACCCAGTAGTGGCTTCCAAAGACCTCAACGGTCTCCTGTTTGAAAGGAAGATTCAAGAAATGGAGGATCAGACTCCACGAAACCCAACCAATAACTTACAACTCTGTCCCTATCCCATCAACCAATATCGTCCGCTATTTGGGATATGGTGGCCAAAAACACTGATCAAGGAGACACAGAACAAGCCCCATTAGGACAATGGAAACCTCACTTGACCTTCCACCCTTACATTTATGTAAAAAAAAGGTGGCTTTTGAAGTCCTGGCAGACTCCAGAGATACAAGGAAAGAAATCCAAACCTAAGGAGAAGCCACCATACATTCGGGAAAGAACGAATACTGACAAAAAAGGGAAAAACTCAACTTTGACAGACCCTTCCATGTGGTCATAGAGAATAGAGACTTTTGGAAGAGTCCCAAATGTCAGACCAGGACCTTAATATGATACACAGGGAACAGAGAGTAGGTTTAGGGGTAAAAGGGCCGAATTATACCTTACGGAATTACATAGGACTAATCCTAATAATTTTCCAAGCTGAGGTTCATGCAAACTGTGAACAGGAGATAAAAATACGAAAGGGGAACAGATATACATACTCTCAGACAGCCTGCAGTCATAAAGGCACTAAATGCGTACGCTTTCAACTCCAAACTTGTCTCAGAGTGCCTAAATTGCCTAACGGTTCTAGGAAAGCACAGCAAGATTACCGTAAAGTGAGTTCCCAGACATGAAGGTATAGCAGGAAATTCTTTTCAACCCCCAAAAACCTTAAAAAAATTGGAGCTTTTAATGGAGAAAAGACTGACTTTAAAAACTCCAGAATCGAACCAAACGAATATTGGCTGCTGGAATTCGGAATTAAACTGTGGGGTTCGACCAGGTGTTCCAATCTAAGAAGGATAAATGAAGGAAGAGGAATTCGGGAGTTTAGACAACAGTCAAAAGGTTTCGATTGGAATAACTGGATTCTTTGGCTGTTGGAACATTTAGATGAACCTTACAGGTAATAACGAGATATTTGTTGTGTGCTGTGTCGGTTGTCTGCGGTTTGAAAACTAAAGTTTTTAACATCACTACTTCGACAATGCTTCCTTCTTTCAAAAAACGGCCAATGGAACTTGATACCCTTCTATTTAAGCAGGATCTCAATCGCTCGACGAGTTCTTCTTTAATGGAGCAATTATCTATCGGAATCTACAAGCACCAGAGTCCCCTGAACAAGTTGCAATAGCACTTATCCCTCCCTTGACAGCTCCACAGCAACCCTAGCCTTGAGCAGGGTCACTAAACTTTTATCAGAAACACGATTTACTTTCTTCTTTAGGTAGAAAATTCCGAGACCAGTGGTGCTTTAGATCTCTAGGGAGAATTGAATGCTGAAATTAAAAGGTTCGATGTGAAAGTTGTGAAAGTAAGAAGCTGGATGATGGTACAGGGTTTTATGCTTCTGTATCGATTCTGCGTAGTCGATGAGGAGACTGAAGTTCCGATTTGCACTTGAAAGTATCTATCGGACATGAAAGAACGATGAGTTTCTAAAGATTGGATATAGGTGTTTCAGGAGGAGTTGTTCAAAGCATTTGCCAAGCCGTGGGAGAGGTTTTTGAAGTTGGAGATCGGCCTTATAATTACCAATTTCCATTGGATTGGAAAGTAGTAGTATTAAGGACTGAGTTGTAAATGGTGTTAAGGCAAATTGTATATATTTTGGGAAGATTTTGTTTGTGACGGACGATGATTTTACATCTAATGAAGAAAGGGTTTGGGAAGGGGAAAATTGTGGAACAGTCTAGGTCTTGTTGAATTTGTTCGTCGTGTCTGGGATTGCTTACGTCTGGGTGGGGTGCAAAAAGTCATATAACTTGGATGCAATAAGAGCCAACTTCATCAGGACAGGCCCAAATGCTGTCCGTCGGAAAGTTGCAGTCCATTGTGATATCTCTTGCAAGTAGGTATTACCTAGTCGGCTTTAGGTCAGAAGGCACTCTTTTCTTTGGTCTAGTTTTGTCGAGAGTCGGTAACCAACAGTGGCAGAAGAACGTTAAGTTTCCTCGCTCTTTCAGTTTAGTAGACTGTTATGAACACTGGCATCGACTCTGCACTGAGGCACATTGGCTCTATGGAACCGGTTTATACCGGTACACCTACTTAAGTTGGGGTTAAAATTGACGTGCCAACTCATTTCTTGGGTGATCCAAAAATCTAGGTTGAAACTACGATGCTCTGGCTCAATCTTAACTACCGGAGGAAACTTGTGAGTAAGCCTTATTGCTGCCTCCTTGTCGGCTAGTCAAATTTTAGCTGCCAGATTGATCTTGTACTTTGGTTGAGAGTGTCGATTGTTGGAGAGTAAATAAAGATATAGAGTTTCTTGGGTGCTACTCATTGACTCTGTAAGGTGCTTCTAGTTGTAATTTCATTCCTCAAGCTTCTTCTTCGCGTTTTGTGATTTCCACAAGCTCTTTCTTTCTTTCAGTATCTATGATGGTCGCAAGGTCATCTAAGCCGATCGAGTAGATTCATATTTCTTCCCATTCTTTTCATTCTATTTCTTCTTTTCATGGTGACAGTTGAAGACACAAATATCCAGAACGATTGGTCATCGGCCATCTGCCCCGTTCAGCATAAAAGGAACGCTAAGACAACAGTGTAGGCTGAAGCATAACAAAAAATAACAAATAATAATAATGTCCGATAACATCCTAAAATCGAAGGTTTCTTTTATCTTTACCTTATCTTTTAGACTGATATTAATTTTTTACTTATAAATTTTAAATTCTTCTAAGTGTTTCGAGGTCAATACCACAAACTTATAATCCGGTTTCATTCAAATCAATGGAAAATTCTTCGGCCGGCATAATCTTCAAAAAGTATTCTAAAAAGAATTTCAGTTTGAAAAAAAAATGTTTCAGTTTCTGATAAGAGAATAAGCCAGTTATTGTGACTAATGTTTAAGATTACAATACGATAGCTATTAACATTATTTGTAATTTATCGCTATTTTTTTTCTTAAACAAAAGCAATTGTCAGATTAAAATTTCTCGCCTCTCATTTCTTTTATCGATTCTCCAACCAAGTTATGATGTTTTGTGATATAACGATAACTAAATCTCTCTTTTCTTTATCCTATTGCTAGCCCCTCTGTGCCTTAGGACCTCGTCAACTGGACAAAATAACACAAATAAACAGAAACAAAATAGTCTGGTTAGCATTCACAAAACGCATTCTCATTCGCAAAGGGGCCGCGGTAG